TTGAAATTAACGTCGTTATTATAGTTTGTTATAGCCCGACTATTGAAAATAAGTGTATCGTAAAGTTGTATTCGGAAAGAATAAACCAGTTTTATTAAGTAAGGACTTGTGTCGCTAAAGTTTCATCGGAACGAAGTTACGGAAAATCAATTAACAAATGGAGACGTAACAATGTGTTAAAATCAAGTGACCCTACCAAGAATCATTATTACTTTTAATCAAGCAGTTTGTTCATTAACTTAAGACTGGTCTTTAACTGTTACTGCTATTAATCATAACAGTCTTATTATCATCAATATATTCACACCCAGTATACTGTTTGTCATGATTCCTCAGAGTTCATTGTTTGATGTGTTAGTTTTGATTTAGCCAAGTGAATCAGCAGAAAAGAAAAATGTAAAAACAAAAGATCAGGAAAAGTATATCTCTCATTATTATAAAATATATTGAAATATTTCTGAGCCCAAAGTTATTTTTTACAGGAAAAACAAAACAAAAGGCACTGCCCTTTTGCATAGGTTGTGTACCAGCACAATTTCCATTCAAAATGGAGGCTGCTTCAAAATTTTAGGTAAACCAGTTCTATCAGCCACCAGTTCATTTAATTTTACTCCAGCTCTATAAAATACAGTGACACTAAATCCTACTGAATATGATCACATTAAGAATGGTATAGAAAAGTGTAATCAGATGAACAGATACTTTCCAGGAATAAAACAAAAATATGGAACAACTAGAAAAAAATGGTAGCAAAGAATTACATTTATAAAACAGATTGTGAATTTGAATGAAAAGAAAATGAGCAATAAAAAAATTCACTTTTGGCTAGACTTTCCAAATTATGAAATCTATGCACTGTTTGAATTTCAGGAATAATGAGCAAAGAATATGCTTTACTGGAGGGGAACATAACTGCATAAACAGAATACTTTTCTAGATCATTTAGCAATAAGTCTGCCACAGTAAGAAAACTTCCTCTAATTGATGAGTGTTTCTAACAATAAACTAAAGGTTGGTTTGTTGACTGAAGATCTAGCTTAAAGGTTTAATATATCAACTGGAAGTGTATCTTCAATTGTGACATACAGACCTTCATTTCAAATTCTGTCACAAGGCAAACTCAGTCATCAACATTTCATTCTTGATTGCACAGAACCTTTTTTTTCTTCAAAACATTATTAAAATTGATGCCAGGAACTGCTATTTTCTAACTATAAGCATCACATTACTTACAAGTTCCATACAGGACTCAACCCACAGGTATGGATTATTTATAAAAGGGGAAGATTCTACAGATTTCTTTCATAACTTGGAAGCAGAAAAATGTTCAATTATGGTTTATCAAGGGTTTCTAGTTCAAGGAATGTTGAATGACATGGGTGTGAAACTTCATACATATCAGCATTTATAGAATCTGAGAGACCACAATTAAGTGCAGCAGAAAAAATTCTGAATTTATGCATATGTGTTGAACAGTAAATACAACAGATTACAGAATGTGATATGAAACTATCAATAAAAGAACAAATTTTTACAGTGTACCTATTTCATCAATTTTCATGTCCCAATTGTAAGTTTGTGTAAAACTGCCAACGTTAGATTAAAACATTGCATACACCTGATTAACAATTATTTAAAGTGCAAACAATGACAACTTTAGTATTCATGCTAAAATTTATTAATGTAATATTAACCTTGTAATGTAACCATTTTATATCAGTTGTTTCACAATTCTAATATAGTTAGCATTCTGACTCTTCAAATCATGAAAAAAGCTTAAACAAATTAAATTGTGAGTAATTAGCTTCATTCTTAAAATTTAAATTAATTGGGTTACTGAATTCATTATTTATCAAACTGTTCAATTTATTACTTTTCATATTTCTTATCACATACTCATTATAAATAGATATGTCATGATATTACATCCATAAACAGAGATAAAAACCTTGTGAATCAAACATTGCTAGCAGAAAATACTAATAGTTATTCTGTGACAATAAATCCCTTTACCATTAAGCTGCTAACTCATAACACAACATTTAATCACTTATAGGATATAAAAGTAACTTGTGAAGGGAAGAGTTAGTTAAACACCTTAGTCATTTCATATATACACACACACACCATGTAGAAATTTCTACTGAAATGTCTACCATTAGGTACTTTCCTTGTTGAAACTTTTTGTATTTGGTAATGAGTAAAATGGAAGGATCATACAAAGAAAAATGTTATGGTTACATAACATGCATGGGCATCAGCAGAAATTATTCCAGGGAGGGGCAAAGTAGTGTGAAATTGTGAATTGAATAAAAAATTCATATACATATGCTGAATGAATAAAGAAAGAACTACATGCAAGTTGCTTCCATGGTATGCACATGTTATAGTTGCTTCTGGACAGACTTGAATGTATGGACATTCAGATAACATCCACATCATCACGATTTTGTCTTAGATTCCAAAAATACATTTCTAGTGTTTTGCATTCATTTTGTACGTCCAACACTACAGTTACTGCTTTTTTTGTAAATGTATTGAAGTCATACTGCATTATGTCTTTAACAATTAACTCTGGTTACTCCTTTTTTACTCCTTTCAATAAATGACAATATTCTCACAATTGTAGTACCAGTTATGGATCCTGTCCACTGTTTAAACTACTTCAAACATTTTAGACTGAAGTTTTGTTCTTGACTCAATATCTGTATGTTCTGTGTCTTTGTAAACTACAGATTTAATGAATTATCCTAGCTCATCAACTGATTGAAAAGTTTCATAAAGGAGTTTGTATATTGGCAACTGGTGAGAAGAAATACATATTTCCTTACACACTGCAACATAAGATTCCAAACAAACATCTGGCATGTCTGAATATGTGATTGGAAGAGTACATGATCTAAAATGACTAATGTGTACAATGTTAGATATTGGGAGCATTGCCATTGGTTTGTTAGAATTTCTTAAAATTTAGACCTTAACATCGTTTGGCAATGATTGTTCTTGGAAATTCTTAATACTTACCATAATAAGTTTTTGCGCTATAAATATATTCATCTTGAAATGCATTATGTCTTTGTTTACATGTAACAAATTATATTCATTCAAGTACTTAAAACTAGATATCTTCTTGTAAATTTATTTATGAATGAACCATTCACTTAAAACTGCAGTGGAGCTACATATTACTATTAGTAATATATTTTAGACATTTGTACAATGACAAAATAAAACTACATAAAAACAGTTTATACATAAGATCATACTGTTCAAAATCTTTAAACAAGAAAAATCATCTTTGTTTTATGATATTTTTTCAAGACAACTAAAAACATGAAAGAACTATTGGATGAAAGTATAAGATAAATATTATCATTTGATACATTTCATTTAATTAGTTCTTTCTACTCTAGATCTATTATACTATAGCTAAAAGAATATTTTACTTCTTCAGACTTCTCAGCCCTATGGCCAAACTTGTCTTACATTCATATTGATTCTGTAGTTCTTCAGGTAATCATCATATTGTTTCCAGTCAGAGTTGTTACTTTCAGCACTTTTCCAGCCTAATCCCTTTTCTGTTAATATTATTTTTGGTACTCCATGATAAGCTAGCCTGCTTGCACCAGACATTACAACAACATCTCCACTTCGAATAAAGATAGGCATTGGAGAAACAGCTTTGCTATTACCCCCAATAAGAAATAAAGCAGTTTGCCCAAAACTAAATGAAAACAATGGTGCAGAAAGGTCAAATTCAGAATGATCTGTGTGCCCTCCCAAAGTCGAATCTTTGTGATAATAATTAATTATGGCAGCTTCTGGTTGAAAATTACCAAACCCTAGTATACGTGCAACAAAAACACTCAAGTTCTTCAAACTTTCAGGAAAAGGTGAACACATATCTCTGCTATAAACTTTTGTATCCCAGTTGTGGTGATAGCCTAGGGTTGTCCATCGTAGTTTTTTCACATTCAGTATATTAAACTTTTCTGTACCAAGATTTGTAAGTAAATGATCGTCAAAAATGTCGCTGTTAGTACTTTCTCCAAGATTTGTAATATTTGGTTTCATGGGGTACTTCAGTAAACAATTTCTAATCCACATCTGCTGACCTTCAGGTGTAAACGGATTAGATATAAAAATGAATCCTGGTAACGTATTCAGTGTGAATAATCTCCATTCCACAATTGGTTTTAAACCTAAATTTTTACAGTTAGTGTTAGTCTTTTCCACTTCTTGTGTTACAAAATTAGGTCCGGGACAATTAGTTGAATAAGTATTACTATTAGTTGAAGTTGCACCAGTTAGACAGCCATGTTCACACGATAAATATTCGTCATCACACTTTACAACACCCCAGTCACGAAATTTTTGGGATTTCTCAAAATCTATGACATTTGATAAGTCGGGTGGAGGTGCTTTTCTTTTGTATTGCTTAAAAACAGTTTTGAATAAATCACAATCGTTTTCTCGCACGTTCATCCCACATACGAAATCTCTATACTCGCCACACCAGATATTTTGAATGAATCCAATTTCAGGGTAAGTTCCATATGTGTTTGATTAGTTCCGTGTCTTCCACAAGTCGCCTGAACATACTTATGAACCAGCTTTTAAAATCTGTGTTAGAAATCATGAGTAGATTCCGAGCACAAGCAAACTGAACAGTACAATTAAATTATAATATATGAAAAAGCTGTCGAATTTGTCTGAATAAAATACTCAAACAAATTTAGTCCTCTTTGTAATTCAAAGCTACTTCCAATTAGGTTAAAGTAGTAGCTGGTTTTGAGGCTAAGTGGTATTAATTTATAGAAGGGTAAACGAATACTTTTGTTTTTATTTTTTGTAGTTATAATCGGATTACTATTAGTTAACAAAAATACAAACTGTAATAACCTTTAGGCGTTAAAAACGAAAAGAGTTAGTAAAAAAATTAGTATTATGTAATATGTGTAGTGAACTAATACCAGTACCAATGCTGTTGCAACTTGCAATGTTATTAACATTGTTAATACTTTATAGAGTTTAGTAGCAGTATACAAACGATCAATCATTGTTTATCGCTAATACTATTAGTAGTACTAAGTACTAGTTAGATTTACTCTCCTGATTTACGTCGACAACGTGAACTTGTAATTAACAACATATTTATTAGACATTGCCCCATTAAGTTAAATATCAAACATTTTTAAAATAGTTAACATATTTGAGTATCTAAAGCCTATAACTTGTAAGTGTAATAATAAATTATTTTTATATAGGCTTAGGCTAGGGCCTATGTTATTGTTGATTAAATTATTATCCTTTTTAAAATTTTAATTTTATACCAATGCAGAATAATTACAATTTACACTCCATTTTTGTTATAGGAAGACTTAAGTTTACAAATTATATCTTGGTGTTTGGGTTGATTAGTCTCGACTTAAGCTATTTAAGAGTGTTGCACGAGTAGTAGGACAAATAAGATTTTAGACTGTATTTACAGAAATATTGAATATGAGTTTAAAGAGGTTATAATTTCATTTTAACATCACTGGTTAGGCCTCGTGGAGTATTGTGTTCAATCTTGGGTTCCTTACATTAAAAAGGACATTGATATAATTAATATATAAGACTACAACATTATTTACAAAGTACTTCATTTGTACCAGTTGTAGTATGATTTAACAACCTTCAGATTTCAAATTCTAATATTTCTATTGATTCTAATCTTTATATTAAATGGTTAATTTATACTAATAATAAGAAAAATGTGGTAATTGTTTTTGTGTGGCCATAAGAAAAAAAGGCAAACTTTTTTTTTTTAGAACAAGACACCAGATTTGTAGTGTTAACATCATTAATCATGCTAGGGTCAGCATAACAACTAAGAAACAAATTTTATTTCTTATATAATGTACTAAATACTTAAATGCATTGTCATAAGTATTGATTCCATCTTGTAATTCATATCACATTGGACAAATAATGCCAGCTTTTAGTTACAAAGTGTCTTCTACATTTAAACCTGTGATCTTTCATGGGTTCACTACTTTTCCCAATCTTAAGCAACTTACATGAAAAAATTTGAGACCAAAGCTAACAATCTGCCACTTTCCATATGCGTGAAAAAGAGAAAAGATATATAGATGAAATTAGTGTAGGCTAGCCAGACAAATTTTACATTGAAGACAGCTTTTTCAAAGGCATCAACCCTTTTGAACAGAAAAAAGTAAAACATTACTTTTCTTAGATGTCCTTATCTACAAACACAATCATCACCTGGCCTCATTTCTCCACTTCAAACCTAACTAATCTTCTGTCAAACATAAGCAGTTGCTTCTTCAGCTATGCAACAAAACCAATTTAAAGAAGAAAAACAACAACAACAAAAATGGAAAAGATCTATCAAGCCAATGCTTACCCATCATGGTTCATCCAAGCAACTCTAAACAGATAGAACCACTCTGCTAAAACAGAAGATAACTTGTGTACATCAAGGGACCTTTTGGTCCTTTTAGATTGTTCTTGCACATGCACTCTTGATAAAAGTAAAAATTTAAACTTAGTATTTACTTTTTTAGAAAATCATGAATTCTCCCTCTTGAGTTCATGTAATGCACTGCCCTCCATTACTGCCAGTGGTAACTTATTCAATCAGTCAATTACTCTGTTAGAAAAATAAATAAAAAAGTTAACAGGAACCTATCTCATCCTTTCCAGATTTTAAACTTTTGAGCTCTCAGCTTGTTATATTAAGAACATAGCACAGAGAAATCAGTGGACCTAATCTTATCAATAAAATTCCATCTTGCCTTGTTTTCTCAAGAGATAGTATGTTAAAAATCTTCTGAACTGTTTCCAGAGGATATGTCAGAAATTGGAGAGTAAAGTTTACTTCAAAGTCAGTAAAACCTTATAGAAAGATACTCGTAAAAGTCAACAGATTCATAAGTAAGTGGAAATTATTTCTTATACAAAGTTCCCTGTTCTTGTTAAGATTGAAATATTGACGAAACTAGAAAGACTATAGGTCAAAGCATAAGAAACTGTTATATACTAAAACATTAAAAGAAGCATTTTTGAAATCCAGCAGCTTGACCTCACACACAATCAAGGCCTTGCTTATAACAAAAATAGAGGACATCAGAAACCAGAGCTTTCAGACTGGATTTTAGTTTTCCATCAATGACACAACCATAGTAATGGCATCACACACCCAACTTGAGCTGATGGAGTTCTCAGGAGTATGTAAAAGTCTCAGATCAACTGTATGTTAAGCAGTACCAGTTTTCATAGGGACTTCGTGAAGGTCTCATTAATTACAGACCATCATTTTGTCCACTCTTAATGACACCAGGCATGTTCAGTCTATAGCATCATTTACAACAAGGAGCCTGTTTGTCTATATAGGCTATTACATCTACTAAACTGAACTTCAAAAAACACTAACAGCTAGCCTTTATCATTTAAATATTTATCAAGCTTTCCTTAATCATTCTTAAATTTACTTTAAAGTTGAGATGGAATCCTGGAGTAGTAGTAGTGATAACTTCAGATCCAGTATATATTTAAATGGCTAAAAAATTTTTTATAGATAACAAAATTTTCTAAGTCAGATGTTAATGAGAACATACATGGTTAAATATTTAGATTTAATATATTGTTTTTAATATTCTGATAATGCAAAATACAAAGTTAACTGTAACGAATAGAATGGAGCTTACATCAGTATTTCCTGATACTTTTTATCACAGATTAATTCTAAACCTTTATGCATGATTGTTCTCAGACAAAATTGTGTCAACCTTCAATTGGTCAATGTTTCTTAAAAGAGGTGATATTTGCCCAATTGAATTGTTTTTTTTTTAAATGTTGATTTGTCTGTGAATTTATGGTAAGGAAAGAATAGGAGGAACTTCCATATCTACAATGTTATAGGTACTAGTGAGAGGGTCAAACCCAAATCTGTGTTCAAGTGTAAAATCATCTCGGAATCTAACTTGTGCATGTAAATGAATGTACAGGGTGTCCCAGAAGTTGGTTGCCATTGTAACAATAGTAAAGCAAGTAAGATTTTATGCTTTATCTACAGGAATATTGAATACAGGTTAAATGAGGTTATGCAGGACCCAAAGATAACACTAGCAAAGCCATTGGTGGTATTGTTTCTGTTTTACTAGTACACATTTCAGAGAGAATATTTCTAGATTCTTACTGTCAAATGTGAATAAACCCTTGATACATGTATTTCACTCATTTATATTGCAAGATTCTGAGTACAGAAGGCTACTGTAATTGTGAACGAGATTGTTTTACTCGCCGGTTTTGAACTGCATGGCATACCCAGGCTAAGTATCAAGAAATGGGGATAATGAGACCATAGCTTCATTGTGTGATTGGATCCAAGGTAATTAGTATGTGGGCTAGCTGCCTAGTCACACTATCTAGCCTCAGAAATGCAGTTTTGCTGGCAGCAAGATTATAAATATTGTGCCCAAATGATTCTTCATTGGAGTTAATAATATTATAGAAATTACATAAACTAAAGATTTTGTTTTCCAAATTTATATTAATTGATCTATGATTAACACAAATTGTAGGCCAATTGGCTTCTAATGCTTTGCCAGATTTATGTTTAAACTTTAACTGTTAATAATATAATGTTTTTTTTGTTTGTTTAGTAAAGGGTGGCCATCAGCAGAAGCATACTATAGACTGTCAATCCAGTCATTTATGACCTAAATACACCAGTCTCTGCCAGAATCAAGCATCTTTTAACTTTTGTGAAATATTTAAAATATTAATACTGTTACATGAATGAGTTTTGATATTTGAAAAGAAAACACGACATACAAGATTCACACATGAATAGGATATATGCATAATTATTAACACTTAATACTGTAGTATGCAGATACTACATACCTTACTCTCCCATAGTGTATATTCTTATTTACAAAATCAATGATTTTTCTAAGTTCTCATTTTTGAACACTAAGTTCAGTTAAGATCCCGTAAAATTTGAGCATGACGTGTTTCATTTTATATATTTCTGGTCAATGAACTTATCTGCTATTTCATGCATAATTGCTTTGTATTCTTATTGACCTTGTGTATGGAGGGTACTTATCCAACTGTCATATGGAACTAAGAAATTTTAGTGCCTGTTTTGGATTTATCAATTGCACCTTGTGATTGCAAGTTCTTGCACTTTTTTGGGAGATTTATTCTGACCTTTGAGAAGAGGAGACTCGTTTCTGTCCTGAAGTAGCCAAGAATTGATGGTGAAGCTTTATCCATGTGTTACCCTTTTAGCCATAACTTCTGCTGATTCTGTAAGTTAACTTATCTTAATTTCTAAATATAGTTCATTTTACTTTATAACACTACTTCCCAAGGCCAGTGGTGATATGAAAGACAAGGGTAAAAAAAAGACAATGGAAAAAAAAGTCAATGGGAAAAGAAAAAAGTAAAAAGACAAAGAAAATTACACAAGGAGGTAAAAAAAAGTAATAACAAATTCTGAAATAAGAATTTTACATTTTTGAGATCATTGATTAGAAAACTGTACTAATAACAGCTTAATTATTAACTCAGTTGGTTTACATGACTTCAATAACTGGCTTAGGCTTTGCTTGGCTTAGCTGTTATTGATACTGTTTTCCAAAATATTTATTTGAGTTCTTACCTGTTTTTGTAATTACCTTTGTCTCTTTTTTTCTGTTGTATTTTTTACCCTTGCTTTATTACATAGATTTTCCCAAGGCAATAGCCTTTTTATCTGGACAATCAGCCATTCTTCAGTTTTCTTTACTAAAGAAAATGTTTGTCATTCAAACTTCAAAACCATGTTTTGTTTCTTTTAATCCATTTGCAAAAAAATCACTGCACTTTTCTTTCCATATGTACCTGAACTTTTCATTTTTTCATATAGCTATATGCAGCTATAACTTTGAATTATCACAATACATGATACAATTAACTATAACACAGCTTCAATTAATTTTAGATAAGAATGTTGTTGTTGTTGCTATTAGCAGTCCTGAAACTGCTAGTGTGAGCAAATAACTACCAACCATTTACTATTGCCTCCAAAAGTTAAAATTAAGGCCTGTTATCATTTCTTTGTATAGGTCACTTGTTAGGCCTCATTTGTATTCAGTCTAAGGCTCCTTACTTTAAAGAGGACATTGAGTTGTTGATAAAGGTTCAAAAAAGTGCTACTAGATTGATTCTTGGGATGTAGGACCTGTCATATGAGGACATGGTAAGGCTTTTCAAATTTTCTCATGAGAAAAAGATGGATTAAAGTAGATTTTATTTAAGTGTTCAGAATTATATGGGGACTAGATAGGATTGATATGTCATTATTTTTAATTTTTAATGCTATGAGTGGTAGGGGGGCATAGGTTTAAGATTTAATATGGTAAGTCTGCAAGTTGGGCAATTTTATTTTTTGAACAAGGCAGTTAGCCTTTGGAAGACTTTGTCTTCAGACGTGGTAGATGAAAGAGGATTGGGATAGTTCGAGAGTGAATACTTAAAATTTTATGACTAACTATAAGCAGATGGGTTTTGATGAAATTAATGGAATAATCACAACTAGTGGTTAGTTTGAATAGAATAATCACAATGAGCCAAGGGATTTCTTTTTAGTTCCTCAGTTGCTAATGTTAAGTAAACATTGCTTTTCTTGTTTCTTTGCAGATTTTGTAGATAACCACACTGCATATTGATGAACTTGTGAAGGTGATCTGGATTAAACATCTATGGTACTGTATCGATTTTGAGAAAAGACATTTTGAGCATATTGTGTAAACATGTACAGATGTTCATATGACAACTTATTTTTGGGACAACTTGTACACATTATTCAGTAATTGTTAAACTTATAAACAAAAAATCAGTTAAATACATAGGAGCCTAGATATGGAAATATTGCATTATTTCTTTTTTAAACATTGGTAATTGTATTGGGAACATTGATGGACTGACTAATTTCTTATATTCACTTTATTTATTTCTTCTTTGCTTTTAATGTTAAATCTTTAGTAGTAGGATAACATTTTTTATAAAAAATTTATTGTTAATGAGATCTGAAATAACTAGTTATTGAAAGATTGCACAGACATTATTTTCTCATTTCATAAAGGTTATTACCATCTATGCATTTACTGTTAGTTTGAATGTTTTCAGTATTTCAGGTAAGAATTATATTGTTATAAGATTTTATCTCATTTCAGAATCATCACCTTGTGACAAGATAGCCAGTAGGGTCAAATATGAGGCAGGATGCTAGATGATAGTCAGCCAGTCTTGACAAAACTGACTTCAAGCAAAAAGGTGAACTTTGCAAATCAGGTTTCAAAGACACAGGGTTTTGCTGTGTGTTCTCCTCTGACTCATGCAGATCAGTTGCTTGTAGAAGCAGCTAGAGTAAGTTGTGAAATAGATTTTTGACCTCTTAGTAACAAGCAATGACAAAAACATGAAAAATATTTTAACCCCTGCCACACGAGTCAGCCCGGCATCTTGATCTGGATGCAAGAATATAAGTCATTCCCGAAAGGTTTGAGTTGTTTTGATTAGACAAAAAGAAAACGTTTGGCACTATTTTCAAGGTCTTGGTCACTGGACCAGACCCGTAACCATGAGAGCTAACATGGAGAAATTAACTGTAAAGGTAAAGTAAAATGATATAGCAATGAAACATGCTTGAAATGTTCTAAATATGTTTGTGAATGTGATGGTTTAAATGTAGCAATTAAGCTAAACCATGGGTCCAGGTCAGATGAGGAAAGAACTTATTCGAAGATATCCCAATCAATTTGACATTCCATCTGACTTGAAGAATCGTCAGTTGATTAGCGCATCAACAGTAAAACATAAAAAAGTGGGTACAATATTATCATTACCTTCAAAAAAGGGGATTGAAATCATGTATAAGAAATCAATAGTTTAAATATTTTGGGATACTAGTGGTACAGTAAAGCCCAATGGTGCAATGTTGAAACAGATGCATGATGCATTACAAGATGATGTCCATAGCTATTCTCAAATTAAAAATGAAAAGTAAATATAAGAAGAATCGTAATATCCAGTATGGTGCCACTATAGTATCATCCCATATAGATTTCATCATGTCAAATTTTCATTAATATTTGTTTTGTTGTTGTTTTTCGACTTAGAAGTTGTGCCAAGCTTCATTCATCAAGAATTATCAAAATAACCCTAAATTTCAGGTTTCAGGAAGGATTCTCTTGTTGACCATTCTATGCTCAGTACTAAAAGATGATGGGCTGGCTAATGTGGTGGGTGTTAAAAAAGTTTGAAATATGTGTGTATAGTGTATGTCAGGAATATCAAGGTTCCTAGAATTAGGTTTCACTAGACTAACCCAAAATAGCTATAACTAGTGGTTGAAAATGATTGGGTAAAAGAAATTCTAATCTATCTCGGTAATGGGCAAATAAGGTGGCTTCAACAGCCATTTTTGGTTTGTTAATGTATTAACTACCTAAAGCTCTCTTAGGGTTGAACAGTTGATTCTAATTCAAAACTTACAATACATAGGAACAAACCACAGATCAAGGAATTTTTTGTATAGTTTCTTTTGACATCCTTTTCATTCCTGATCATGTTTAGGTGTTAAATTGTATCTGTTTGAAAGCTATTGCAATATTCTTCTATGACAAAATATCAGATAATTTTATTTACGTTTAGTGAATACGGAAGGTAATGATAAACTATTCAGATGACACAAGCACTTTTTTCTTTAATATGTTGTCAGGTTTAATGTATTAAAATAACATAGAAATAAAATAATTTATTATTTATTGAAAACAAAATATTTATTAGATATCATTTAAGCGTGATGAAGAATATTGTTGGTAAAATGTCAGTACAATGCCTGACAATGGTAATGGTGAGATCAATGATCACTATGAAACTTTTGTCAGTTTTTGCTATGTTTTGTATGATTTATAGCTGAAAGAGGTGATTGCTTTAACATGTGAAATATTTAAAAGTATTGAAGAAAAACTTTCATGAACATAAAACAAGTTGAAGCTAACTGAACATGTAAAATGAAGTATTTTGATCAACAGTACTAAAAAAAATTAAATTCTAAGATGAAAAGAGATATTTTTAATTTTTCAAAACAATGTCTCATAAAAATTTTGGAAATTGCACAACCTAAAAATATGATAGAAGTACTAAATCAAATTATATGGATTTTTTTAAAGCAGAAACTGAATACTATTAAAAAAGATTGTACTAATTTTGATGCTATTTGGTTAAGTATTTCCACTGTGAGAAGTGGATATCGGTGACACTCCTCCAGTCTGGAAAGGGCTGTAATCTAATTGCTTTTGTAATTACTGAGTTTTATGTTGAAAACATTGTATATACGTAGTGCATAAATATAATACTTTGTTCTGTGAAGTACATATCTTTTCATAATTTTTGAAATGTCAATTTTCTAATATGCATTTGTTTATATAGGAGGGAGATATGAAGCTGTTGTCTTCACTAATGACCCAAAAACGGAAGGTAAATGTGGATGCTCGTGACAGGCGCTCAGGAAATACTGCTCTGATGATTGCTTGTGCACAAGGACATCGTGAGGTTTGTGTTTATGGCATTATTATGAATCCCTTTTGATATCTATGTATAATTTTATATGAACATTTGATACATTTGCTCAGTTAATTCTTAAAGGGGAAGAAATCAGTTAAATGCAAGTTTTAAAGTTTTAAGAATTAGAATTATGACAAGGTACCGTACTTCCACTCACATACATAGCTATTCTCATTCTGTGTTGCCCTCTATTTGCAAAACGTTTTTTTGTATGCCACAAGCCTTTCACTCCCATGCACCCCTTGATTCACATGGTTTAATTTATTCTCGTATGCAAATTATTATGTGACAACAGGCCAGAAAATTCATCATTTTTGGAGCAAGACCATTTGGCCTTGGATTTTTTGTCATTTTGAAGGGCACCAAAACTGGAGGGCACTATGGCCACAGTACACATTAATGTTAATGGAATAGAAATGAGTTTCCCAATTAGTTTAGTAAGTATGGCATTACTTTTTTTCAATGGGGGCTTGCGAAGCTGGCCTATCTTTCCAGATAATGTTTATTAGGTAGGTGAGTTTTAACTTTAATTAATGTGACTTATGAAGTAATAGTACATCAGCTTTAAGATAAAAAAAATAGGTATCATGCTGATCTAAAATGCCCTGTGACCATAATAGGATTCCTCATTCATACCTCCACCTGACCCCAATGACATTTAACCTGAAAATCATATACAACTTTTATGCATCTCTCTCCACTTATTAATTTGTCTAAATTTGAGAAGGATCAAACAAAATCCCTGGGAGGAGAAGCATTTTAAAGGTTTCCAGGATTTGACTTCAGATGACTACAAATGTAACAGGCTGCTCTATCATGGGAACGAAAAAGCATCGTTTGAGGTGACAAGACACCAATTACACCCAGGGTACACAAGTCAACCAAATCAAGGAAATTTACAAGTAAAGCAAGGAATAAATGAATCCAATTCTACACCAAAAGATATACACTTTATTAACATAAAGATATGAAGACTTATAATGAATGAAAAACAATATCATTGATCACATAAAAGTTTACACTTTCAGTATTAGATCCATAATGTTTCTAACCCTATCAACATTACTTATTTAACTTTAACGACTTTTGTATTATACATCATATTTCCACCTGGCAATATTATTGGTGAAAGGAGAGTAGCAATTAAGACTTACGTGGAGTTACTGTAGTGCAAGTCTTGCATGTATAGATAAACTGCCATTTTCTGTCTGTATATCTTGGGAACTTAGCTAAGAGAACTGGAGCATCTGGAAAGCCTGGAACAACCTGGAACCCTCTGGAGCAACCTTAAAGGTGGGAACAACCCTGATGTTGGGGACAACCACACTTTTGGTCCAGAGACATCAATTTTTATATTGTTTTGCAGCATAATCCATTCAAACTCATGGAGGTAGACTTCGAAGTGATTGGTTCAGCAATTAGAGTGGACTCGTCTTCCTTTGTGCCCAGTAACCAAGGACTTGATGTCAAATAATATAAAAGGTTACAGGAAAGGTTACTAGTGTATACAGTTTCCTATCCTTTATAATATGTCTTGAATAAACATCTTTCCAACTAAGTGGTATCAGATTAAAATTCACGACCCTGAACACAATTGTTTAAACTTACATATCCATCTAGTTAGAATCACTTTACATGAGAATCCTCTACATTATCACTGATATGCAGACAAGTGTGTTCAACGTTTATCTTTCGTTAGCATTTCACAACTATTATTTTGCAACACATCCCAAGTCCATAGTTTAGCTTGGTTGAAACATGTGTTTATTGTAAAGTGGCAGTTCAGCTCGTGAGAAAGAAAGCTGAAACATTTGTTTAATATTTTGCAATACGGTCATAAGCTCAAAGACTGTACTTAGCCTGTGAGAAAGTATAGTTGAACTATTTGGTTATTTTAAGGTGCTTCACAAATCATGAACAGATTTCAGGCATCTATATCCACTTACTAATTTATCCAACTTCGATAAACATCAAACTTATTTATAAAGAGAATAAGTGCTTTATAAGATTTCTATCTTTTGCCCCAAATGATTTTTGACCTAAGAATTGTATACAACTTTTATGCACCTCTATCTATTTATTATTTTGTCTAACTTTGAGAACGATCAGACAAAATCACTGGGAGGAGGAGATGTTTAAAAGCCTAATTTCTACCAACAAAATTCAACCCCAACATGCCTGACTACTTGACCAAGATTGACGAAAATCAGTTACACGGTCTCTGAACAGCAGCCCCTTGTAAATCTTGACTGACAGAGAGAGAGATAGAAAGTCACATTGCCGTGACATAAGGTCAACATTCTATTTCCAAACAATACTACTACTAATATTTTTTCACGTAATCTCTAACGTAGGCTAGTGCTGATAAACAGTAAACTAGTCCTACACTACAGTATAGCATGTCATCATAACCTATAAATCATGCATTGACGCACATTGCATTGTGCAACTCGCTGCATGTAATTCAGTAACGTTAACCCTAGCTAGCTAATGTAGTAGGTCTAAGTCTTTGGTGGATTTGCACATAAAATATATCGAGCCAAATTATTGACATATCTTATTTCCCTTCATTTTCTAAACAACAGGGAATTCTCATTAGCTGCAGCATTTGAAATTCTTTTAGGCAGGATTAGAGTAAATTAATCTATGAGAAATTGAGTGTGGTCAAATACATCAATCAAAAGGGTTTGACCTCTTGAGTCGCAAACTGTAATTAGATCTCAAATTGGAGCTATGAGTTAAAAATTTGTACTTGAAAAGAAACTTGTAGCCATTCTATAAGCTGCTATGCCACAGCTAAAAATCAGGATGTAATTTACATATTTACTGATGGGGAAAAAGGTTCCAATTTCTGGCACTTGGCCGCCACAGAAAAAAGTTTCATGGCATTCTCCCTTTTAACTTGTTTCTTTTTCAGCATGTTTAATGCAAGGAGTATTTGCAGTTGTGCACTTCACTCTGACCAGTGTATGTACAAGTCTCTGTTAATCCTATCCATTTTATCTCCCACCTAGTTTCCCAGCTTCATCTTACCCTATCGACTCTCCTACAGGAAATGTCTACCTTACACCTCCTTTCTTAGGCGTTACATCTATATCTGAAGGATTTTTGTGGGATACCTCTTCCTTCTTCCCGCCATGTTGGTGCATTTGCCATTCTCAGTTCTTTCTCTCTGTACATGGCTTCTTTGCTTTTGAGATCTTCTGGAATGGGACACTCTTGTACCATTTGCTTACCATCCACTTCTAATAAGGACTTCTAGTCCACACTTTTTTTCTCCACCAATCAGTTTTTTGGGACTTCTCCTGTGCATTTAGCATCACATGGAGTATCTGCAATGCTATGTGTTTATTTTATTTATTGCTCTTTTGTTTCATTCTGAGTCACTGCCATCTTTATTCATGTTCCATATCTGACACCTTCATGTCCTACCTACGGGTTTCTCCATTTGTCATATATGCTAGATGCTGATTGGAGTTATGGTTTGATTGGTCCTGCCTCAATCACTTCTTGGTTCTTCCCTGTTTTTAGTATGTATGCTATGATCACAAGCAGGTGGGCAAATTCTGCAGGACTGAGAATGCCCATGGTACACATTCTTATATTTCATTGCTCGGGACACTATCTTAGGTTGTTTTCATTATGTGATTCAGTACAAATTTTCTGTTTTGCTCTTTGGATTAATTTTGGTTCTGTATGTCTTTTGTCAGGCGGTTTGCATTTTACTCAACTTCCACATTTTGAAGAATTTCATTAACACCACTACTTGGATGTCTGGCTTTGGTTAGTTCCTTCCACACAGGGGTGGTCATAACATACTCCTCTGCTTCTTTTACCAGTAGCTCAGATAGTTGGATCTTCCAGTTGGATAAGTTTTTCTCATTACCTATTAACAATCTTGGCTATTTGGGAGTGTCTTTTTCAACACTCAACTCTGTCAGGATCATCCATTCTCCTCCTCAATTGCATTTGATAATGCTTTCTGTTATCCATGCCATTATGGTTCACAATCTTACTGCTAGCAAGGTTCTAATGCATTGGGGGAATATAGCTTCTATGAAAGCACTTCTCTCTTTGAGTCTGGCACATTTGCAATCTTTTCAGGAGATGCTGCATGACCCATGGTCTCTTGCTAGAGTTCTTTGTATTCTCCTCTTCACTTTCTTCCTTCCCTCTTTGAATATATGCATTGGTTGAACATATCCCCCATGTCATCAAGTGTACTGCTTCCTTCCTCTCATCCAGATTTGGTTCTCTTCCCCAATGCTCATCTCCAAAGTTGGGGTGTGTAGGTTAATCAGCAGGAGGCTTCAGGACAATGGCCTATGGATGCAAGGATTTACCGTGTTAACACCCTGGCGCTTCCAACAGTCCAACTTGCTTTAGTTCACTTTCTTCCTCATGTCTGGATTTAACTAATCATGTTTCATTTTGACTATTCGATATTGATGGCTTATATCACTTGTCAAGGAGGCACTCGTTCTTGTACCCTTTGTGGTAGATGGTGGATCTCCCTTTTGAACCCATGCACTTGACATACATCTCCTGGTGTGTCTTATTCCAGGTGCTTTCATCCTCGTTGCACCTTTCTAGTCCCAACACACTTTCTCCCAAGGAGTGGCCTCTCGATCCTCAAATTTTCCGTGACTCTGCCTCCTATGGGGTGCTCTTCCATGGGAAGCATTTACCTCCTTTCTCAATTCCAAGTTACCTCTTTTGTTTTTGGTCTCCAGTTCATCATCCACTCACCCAGGCCATCGATATGTTCAGACAGAATTAGATCCAGTTTATAACATTAGTTTTTCTCATATCATTAGTCTTCTTCCCAAGGTGATGTTGATCATCAGTGTCACTCCGGGTCAGGTCTTTCTAATTGATCCTTCCTGGCCAGCACAGATCTGGTTTCCTTGGCTGTTTCGGCTTGATATGTTATTCTTTTTCTGAATTAGTTTTACTAACCTACACTCTGGGGTTCATGTGGAATATTC